TCTGTTTAAGTAGTCCTCTCTCTGGTCCTCTGCAGCAGGGGTCAGTCGTTCCAATTAAGTTCCATCATACCCAACTGGGATCAGTAATTATGACTACTGCTAGATCATGGGCAAAACTGAGGGCTAGTTGCTAGGTCATAGGAAAGACTCAGCCCAGCTTGCATTGAAGAGCTAAGCAGCCTGTGACGGTAGTGAACTGAGTTAAAGGTACTACCAAAGATATCATGGAGAAGAGGGCTTTACTTATTATTCATAGAGACCGTGTTGATTTATTGTTGCTGTGGACCCTTGCCTCCTGATAAAGTCTTTCCTTGTTCTAAATGCAGACTCGGTGCTTGTGAGTGAGGAAGTATTGCTGGCTAATGGTATCCCAGGAAGGTATTCAGTTTTCCCTGGTTTTGAGGGTTGAACCAGTGACATTTGTTAATTTCAAGGGGACGCCCTAGATATCTCAAACTTGCCCTTGTTCCTGCTGACAACTGGCAGAAATTAAAATCACAGAAACCTCAAGGGGTGGTTCCTTCAGGTGCAAGTTGAGTCATTTGAGCAAGAAAGCTTTTAATTGTAGCTTCCTGTGCTTTAGCTGTTATGTGGATAAAGAGTGGACTTCTGTCAGCAAGGCATCTTTCACCTCGTCTGGATCTCTTGTTTCTGCCCTATAACTTTCCCTCCTATGCCTTTGTTCCCCCATTTCATTGTCCCCTGTAATTAGCTGGGCTTTGTATTTTCTTTTGGCCCTTCTCCTTTTTTGGGGCAGATGTATTGTTTTTGCAGGCAGAACCCCCATTGAGAGCTCTGCAGCATATCAGAGCCAAATAGGCCAGCAATTAAAAAGTAGAGTGAAGCGAGAATCACACCACAGATTATAATGTGCTCACATGTTTGCTTTCCAGGGAAAGTTATAGTCCCATAGTTCTGGGGTCAATGCTCTTTCATTTACATTTCTGATAACTAGTGCTGATGTGGCAACTGTATAACTTCCATCAAGATTACTTGGTGGCAGAACTAAAATGTCATATCAAACTATCCATTACTAGTGACAATGCCATTAGTCAAAACAATGGCTATCATTTGTTTTAATTTTGTAAAACTGAAATCAATCAAGCATAGTTAAAACTAGATGATGCTGAAAGGACACCCCCCCCCCCAAAAAAAAAAATTCTGTGAGCACTTTCCTCTGGGGTATTGTTTATTAAACTCTTACCCAACGTTTTAGCTTGTGCACATCGCTTCAGTGTGTTTGTGTGATGATGAAGAAACTGCAAACATTTATTATTGTTGTTTTATTTTGTTGATTTGTATTGCAGTGGGGCCTAGATGCTTTATTCATGGACTAGGACCACATTGTGCTAGGTGCTGTACAAACACAGAGCAAACAGAATAGAGTTTAAATGCCTAGTTTTAAAACTAGGTTGTAAGCAAAAGTCTTTTCACCAAAGGGGATTTTGACTCCTAAGCAAACCATTGCAAGAGAAGGGGGTGGGGAATATATTAAGTTAGACAGCTATTTGAGGGATGTACAGGTTCAAATCCTTAGCTGGTGTTAATTGTGATAGTAGCACTGACTTCAATGGGGCCATGCTGATTGACACCAGCTGAGAGTCTGGTCCATAGTGTCCCTAACTCCATCATCTATGTGGGCAACCACACTTCTTTTGGTTGAGTATTTGTTTATATTTCTGCACCAAGCTATTTGTGTGACATCTATATAACCTATCCCCCTCAATATTGGGTTGTCTCAGGTAAGTACTAGTGTTGAAAGTAAGGTCATGTCTACACAAGCACTTACTGTGGGGTGCAAATCTATAGCCCTCCAGCGAGCTGCACTCTAACTCTTAGTGCGCATCTGCATGGTCTGCACAAACAGTTCCCCAATGCACTTTGAAGAACTGCTGTTTTAAACCACAGTAGGTCAAAGCGCACTGCAGAACTGTTAGTGCACATCAGCAGGATCCATGCTGATGATTAGTGCAGGGCACTCAGGAGCACTATAGAGTGCCGTGCAGGGCATGCTACTGTAGACATGGCCTAATACGTCAACTTCTATGAATTAGTTTTCATTGCCACTCACTTATCTTCATCTATCCTGCTGGAGTGGGGTTGTTTCCTTCTTTACTTTTTCTTTTTTTTTTTTTTAAATGTGACCTGACTGTGCACTTCTGCTGTCTGGGAGAATAAGCCATTCTGTATGACAGCTGCACTATAACTGGTGGCATTGTGGAGTCTTAGTGCATTTCCAGCCAGATGGAAGGCCCACGTTTCTTAGTTGGTGGTCTCTTCCAGCTACATCAACTATGTATGTATGGCCCATTGCCGTACATTTTCTTTTGTTGTGGGTTGTCATTTAGCCAATCAGTCTGTCAGTGCTAGTTTGCTCTATAGCAATAACTATTTCTTGTATGCTTCATTATCACTGCTGTTTTACTCAGCAGCTTCAGTGTAGGGCAGACCATGGTGATTGAATGAGTCTGGAAAGAAATGACAAAGCAGAATCAGGAGAGATGCAGCTAAGGTTATTGACAATGTTAGAGGCATATAGGACAGGAGAGAGCAGCAATGGAGCAGGCGTACTGGATCCCAGTGCCCCGGACAGTGGGGGCACCAGTTCCCTCTCAGGATTTTCACCCTCTCCAGCTGTGTGGGACTGCAGCCCACCAAGATCCTCCCTCTATGGCCCATTAGGCTGTTGGCAGCTATGTGATGGAATTTGTTTTGTTGTTTTTAAAATACAGGAAATTCCACAAACAAAACTATGCTAAAAGAATATTATTAGTTTGCAAAGTCAAGCCCTCAGAAATTAGGAAATGCCCAAATTAAGATTGCACAGGCAACCTTAATTTGGCTCCGTTGTGCGTATGTGTATGCTATGAACTTTAGGTTTTTTCCCACAGGACCCTGCCTCATTATTTGCACAGGATGGACTTGCTGTGGGGATGAATCAGGGGTGTGTGGTGAAGGAGTCTGTTGCTGTAGTACCTTGCTTCATTTGTTGCAGAAGGTGGAAGGTGTATAGTGAATGAGGCAATGAGAAAGGAGGGTCTCATTGTTAAGGCACTTGGATGCTGCCCTGGAGAACTGAATTCTGTTCCTGCCTCTGCCACAGAGGTCCTATGTGATGTAAGGCAAGTCTCACCCCATACCCTTGTTCCTTGTCCCCAATCTCCATGCCCAGCTGGTCCCAGTTTCCCAGCTCTTCATCTAATCTCTCTCCCCGCCCCACACCCTGTCTTCCAGTCACCTTCCCACTCTGCCCACATTCCCAATTCCCACTAGCTTCTTGTCCCAATCTCCTTCCCCAGGCTCTTCTTCCAATCTGTATTTTCCCTCCTATCCCCCAGTCTAAGCTTCTAGTCCCAGTCAGCCCCAGTTCCCCCTCCCCTAACAACAGCTGTGTGTAAGATCTGTCTCCCCTCACCACTCACCTCCTTCCATTCACCTGATTCTATTCCCATTGTCCTTGCCACCCAGCTCCCAGTCTCCTCAGCAAGCTCCTGGTCTGTCTCTTTGCCCTGCCAGTACCAGTCTCCCCCACCAACCTCCAGTCAGTTTCTCCCACCAGTCTGCAGTCCCAGTTTCCTCCTCCCCAGGCTCCTTGTCCCAGTCTACTCCCCCGACCCTCTCACAGGTCAGTCTCTTGTCCCCTCTGCATTTGAGTCAGGCAGCTTCTTCATGCTGCCTGGGCTGAGCAGGAGGTACCTGAATGCAGGAGAGACCGGCTCCCTGCACTCAGTTCAGATGCTCCAGCTGGACCTAGCCCACAACTACAATTGCTCAGCCCCAGGCTGGAGCATGCTCAGTGTGGACAGAATCTTCAGGGAATGTAGCTGCTAATATTTAAGAAGTCTCTATTGAGCATATGTGAACTGTGATTTTTTCAAAGGCTTGTCACTTGATGAAATTTGGAAGGATTTTCACTGGGTTGGCAAAATGCACATCCCTGACACAATGACAATTCCCTTGCCAAATTTCAAGTCCAGCTCCAAAACATGGGGCCACTGGAGCTTCTCAAATAAATGGTTGCTGGAATTTTTTAACATGCACAAAAATACGTAATTTTCCCAGCCTTGATCTTAGTAACAGCTGAACCATTTTGGCTGACATTCCCTTTCTTCTTCCTCCCAGTCCCAAACAAAAAAAGCTTGGGCAGACACCTGGTGTGGAAGCCCAAATTATTAAAGTTTGGCAAAGTTATAAGTAACTAAAACCAGAGACTTATAATGGGAAGTGTTGAGCAACCTTAATAATAGGTGGTGCTGCCACTCCCACCTATCATTTATACTACAGAATAGCCCAGAGGCCCCAGCTAGGATCAGAACCTCATTGTACTAAGTGGTATACAGATAAATATGAAGACAATCCCTGCCCTGAAGAGTTCACAATCTAAGAAAACACCTGCCATGTCCCCAGGAAAATGAAATAATTTTGTCAGGGCCATGATAGCTTCCTTCAGTGAATGAAACTAGTAGTTGCAGAGCAGTGTGGAGGGCACACATGATACATTTCTCAAGACACACACTTATCACATATACTTCCCAGGTATGATCTAGGGTCTGTTGTGCTCAGACAGGACTTCCTTCTACCTTAGTTGTAGTTTATTTTTTATTTATTTGTTGTATTGCAGGAGTGCTTAGAGGACTCAATCAAGGCCCCATTGTGCTAGGTACTGTACCTATATACAATGAAAATCTGGTCCCTGCCCCAAAGAACTTATAGTTTAAGCAAACTAGCATTATGGCCTCTCACTTTGCCAATGGTTTATAGCTAAGGGATTGTATTGCAGCTCCTGTCTGCTCTGAACTGACATCCAGAGCACGCAGATAGACAATTAGCAGGCAAAAATTCTCTTTCTGTATCTTTCATTCAGTACAGTCAACCCTGAGGAGTATCTAAATGTAGGTGTTTTATGTGGATTGATCAAGGCTCTTGAAGCACTCAGACCTCTGCATCTTATTTAGCAAGTTCTAAGTGAAAAAGTATTTTTTGGAAACATTTTATTTTAGAGAGAGCAAAGCTCTGGAAGCCTCAAATGGAGAAAATGAAATCCCAGAGAGAAACCAATAGAGGGCACTAAGAAGTCCTGCTTACTGATTGCTTGCTGCTATTGATCAAAATGGAGAGTATGAATTGGAATGCCTCTTTTCCAAACTGAAACATGGAAGAGCAAAAAAAGATAATTAGTAAGTAATTCTCAGTTGAATTGCCTGGTAAACAACTGAAAGACATCTATTTATATTTTATGTTTGCCTTTCACTGTCCCTTTATTACATATATTGATTGTGCAACCTTAATTCAGCTTCCTTGCGCTTATGCATGAGTAGGGCCCTACCAAATACACGGTCCATTTTGGTCAATTTCACAGTCATAGGTTTTTTAAAAATCATAAATTTCATGATTTCATATATTTAAATCTGAAATGTCAGTGTTGTAATTGTAGGCAGCAGCGCAGAAGTAAGGGTGGCATGGCATGGTATTGGCGTTTGGGTCGGGACCCCCAATTTGAGAAACGCTGGTCTCCCCTGTGAAATCTGGTCCTTTGCGTACTTTTACCTTATACTATACAGATTTCACAGGGGAGACCAGATTTCCTGGCCGTGAATTTGGTAGGGCCCTCATTATGAGATCGTCTTTAATTACATGACACACACAGGAGCTGTGAGGGGTCAGAGCAGGCTCAGTTCACATAGAATATCCAGGAATGTAGCTGCCAGAATCCCACAAGGCTCTACTGAGCATGTGTGAACTGTGATTGTGTTTTGTTTTTTAAAAGCTTGTAACTTAGCCAAATTTGGGTAAATTTTCATGAGGATGGCAAAAGGCACATCCCTGACATCAGGGCAACCACCTGCCAAATTTCAAGTCCTTGCTCCAAAGCATGGGTACTAGAGCTTCTCAATAAAATGGTTGTATGTATTTTTTTTTATGTGGGCAAACCAGTGTATTTTTCTATATTCTCATTCTCGGAAATGGCGGAGTCATTTCAGTTGAAACTTAATTTAATTGATTGATTGAGTTATTATTAGCCTGAGGCAGACACCCAGCCTGAAAAGTTTTAGCCCCAATGGCTAAAGTTTGATAAAATTAGAAACAGCAGAAGGTAGGATATTCTAATGGGAACAGTATGGCTACCTTAATAATAGGTATCATTGCCAACTCTACTGATAGCAGTCACTGTACAGCTCATTGGCAGAGCCCTGGGTGTCATCTTGCCACCTAGTAATAAATATTCTAATTATTAAATGTATAATAACCAAATGCACCCAGAGGCATTAAGTCTCGTGTCTAGTCAGTTATTTTCAGTATTGCATAAATTTTCTTCAGTTTCACAATGCTTAAGCTTCATATTTGTTTTTGCCTTTGACTACATTTAAGAAACTGTAGTTTATTGGGACTGTGACGGGGGGGCCCTGTTTGTCAAGCCGGGCCGCCTCTGTTGGCCCAGTGCGGGATTGGTACATGCCATCACCCAGTTGTCAGAATTGCCTGTTAGATCTGGTAATTGCAGTATGGTGGAGTCCAGACCCCAGCAGGGCCAAGCAAACAAACAGTAACACCTGAGTCTCCGGGCTGGGGCCGACAACAACATTTGGAGTTCTGGCCCTCTGAGTAGGATGGAACAACAGTCAGTCTGTAGCCCCTGGGTGGGGCTGGGTAAACAAATAGTCTATGGCCTCCAAGCCTCTTGGCTGGGGCAGGCAGTAGCAATTGGGGTTCTGGCTGTCTGGTTGGGCCAGAACAAACAAACAGTTGATAGACCCTAAGCCTCCTGGCAGGCAGTAGCAGTTGGGGAATCGGCCCCTGGAACAGAGCAGAACAGCAATGAGCCGGTAGCCCCTGGGTGGGGCAGAACAAACAACCAGTCTTTGGTCCCTGGGTCTCTGGGCTGGGACCGAGAGCAAACAGCAGCCACACTTAGTGGTTTGTGGGGTGTGGTAGGGGAACCTGACTCCTCCTGCTCCATTGGGTTCTGACCCAGGGCCCTATGAAGCCAGGGACTTCCCTGCTAAGGGTTTAGGCATTGGCTTCTACTACATCCCCTGGGTCATTTCCTACCACAAATTGCATCCTAGCCATCTCCTCGTCTGTCGGCGGCTTGCCGTCCCCCACAGTCTCCGCAGTTGGTGAGTTGCCCACAGTGTAGTCCAAGTCCACGTGCTCTGCCGCTTGGAGCGTCACCAGCCCTTCTGGAGGGGCCTGCAATACACATCCTTCCACCTCTACAGCCAGCCCTGACTGAGCTGGGCTGCCTCCTTTTATCCGGCTCTTCCACTTGGAGCATGCACAGCAGGGGAAATTGGGTGTGGCCTCCTGGGCCCACAATAATTGGTCTGCCCCTGTTGGCTCAGTATGGGGTTGGTACACCCCGTCACAGGAACCCTGATTCAGGAAAGCATCTCTATTCAAGAAAGAATTTAAGCACATATTTAAATTTCTTAATTTCACCATGAACCAATATTAAAAATAATTGTGTGTCGGGTCAATTGAATTGTTTTGTTTTGACAAAATCTAATCATTGTGTTATGTTTTTGACTTTTTTCATTGTCTAGTGTATCTTTTATGGAATAAAACAAAAAAGTCGAAACAAAAGGTTGTCTTGAAGCAGAAAATAGAAAAAAGTTCCATTCCAAAAAGATTGAAGTGGAATTTTTCAACGTTGTCAAACTTTTTTTTTCAATTTCCATTTCTCAATGAATTTTCAAAGGTGATATGGTTCCATGAAATGTTTCACTTTTGACAAATTGGCATTTTCTAGCCAGCTCTAATTAGTTTCCCTACATAGAAAATTCTAGGAATTCTGAATCTGCACAGAGTAAAGTATTATTCTTAGTTAATTAGTCTTCATTGTTGCACAATGTGATGATCACGAGCATTAGAATACGCCAGCCTTAAACAAGCCTTTCAGGTCATTTGTGTTTATTTATTGCATATGCTTCCAGGGGCACAATAAACTATCCATGATCAATTGACCTCTTCTCATCCCTCTCTCCATTTTGTGGGTCCTGTATGAAATCTTGTAAAGATTTGTGATAAATTTACTTTTCAGTCAAGTAATTATCCACAATGGATAAAATGAATATTGCGGAAAAGAGTATCTCATTTTAAAATGAAAGTTTGTTCTTTGCATTTGGCTGTATTTTTGTATGGAAGGAAAGCACTGAGTAACAGATTTGGGAGCCCTCAGTTAGTAATCCATGCTATACGTAGTATTGCACAGTCCAATTCTTATGGGACATAATAAAACCGGAATGGGGTATAATTTATTACCCATTCAAGAGAAACCAGTCAGGGGAAATCAATAATTTGTTGCCAGCACTGACCATGAATGTACCATATTTCTCTGATAAAGTGGTATCTATGTTTCCAGAGTACTGCAAATTTATAAATTCTTCTCACAGTGCCTGTATCATCCTGAACTCATTCTCCAGCTTCAGAAGACTTAAAAATATCTCCACTCATCAATGGGACAGACACAACTGAATAATGTAGCTGATCTTAATGTGCATCAAGACAATACCAGAGAACTAGATGTAAATAACATTGCTGACCATTTCATCCAGAAAGCTACAGTGAAACATAATGTCTTTAAACTGGGACACTTGTAAAGACAGCTTGTAGGTGATTGCAATGATTTTAATATACTGTAATTCATGATAATATAATTGTGTAGTTCATAACAATTTAATTATTAAAATAGTAAAGATACCAATGATAGACACATTCAATAACTAGAATATGAAAGAAGTGTATAAATATGCTGAAAATAGCCTCCCCCCGCCCCAACCTGGCAGAGTACCCCTTCCATCCCGCCACCAAACACGCACACCTCTTCAAAAGCACCCACCGGCAAAAACAAAAGTAAGCATCTATGTCTACAACCTGTTTAATATAAAATTACCTTTAAAATATGTGACATTGTACATGACTATTAGGGCAGGAATGCGAGGAGAGAGCAGAGCATCCAAGTAAACTCTTAAACCCAGTTAAGAGAGCACACATATGTCTTTCTTCTCCTCTGGAGTCCCAAAGGTCCATGTATGTGTGATTTCTTATAGCTGTCTCATGTCCTGACTGTCTGAGTAGGCACTAAGGTTGCCAACCCACCAGGATTGTCCTGGAGTTTCCAGGAATTAAAGATTAATCTTTAATTAAAGATTGTCATGTGATGAAACCTCCAGGAATATGTCCAACCAAAAGTAGTAACCCTAGACACCTAGACGGGGAGATGGGAAAGGTATTACCCTAAAGACCTATTTCAATCAGGTCTTCTGTTTTCGCTTAAGGTTTCCTTCGTTTATCAGGTTGACTATACTGGCATAAAGAACTTTATCAAGTGACTGTCCTGACTGCTAGGACAGTGGCACTTTTAATTAAATTGAATTCTCTCTCCTCCTTAAGGCCCCGATTCAGCAAAGAACTGAAGTATGTGCCTAACTCTAGGTGCAAAAGTAGTCTTATTGGATTCAGTGGGACTGTTCTAACGCTTAAACTTATGTGTGTGCTTAAGTGTTTTACTGGATCAGGGCCTATGAAATGGTTCTTAGCTGTATGGTGGCAGACTTATTTGTTCATTGTCACCCTGGCTACAACAGTCTCTCCTCCCTTCCTCCCCCATCATTTTGTGTTGGGAGTTGGAAAGGATATTCAGATTCTCAAGAAGCATTTTTGAGACTATTCGAAGAGTGCTCGGTGGGAGCAAAGATCATAGACTTTATTGAAATGTCCATCTTTGAGTGGGCTGTGTCTGTGGATCCCGTCCATTTATATCCAGCCTTATCTTACACTTGGCTCTTTCAATGTCATGTCATTGCTCTGAGTTTAATTGTTCTGCTTGATAAAGTGATTTCATGTGATAGAGGATGTTTTTCATAGCTCTTAGGACTATGTACATGGTATATGCAGTACTCCCCATTCTTATTAAAGATGCAGCTTCAAGGGGAAGATATAGCCTCTGGTACTGTAACCTTAGCAAACAGTGCAGTGTTCTATCAGAGTGGAATATGAACGCACATCTGGAAGCAATTATTCCTTTAAAAAATATCTCTTCCATGAAGTCAGCATTGAAAATACACTCACCAGGAAAATGAAAACTTACCTGGAATTTTCAATGTTTGTATCCCACAGCTTGAACAACCAGAATTGGAAACAAGGTAATATCTAGAGAGCCTGAGAGAGGTGGGCACAAAGCCCGCCTTGGAACCCAAACCACTCCAATCTATGCTCTCACAAGGCCAAGCACCACTTTTTGTGTAAAAATCAAATGTCCGATGAGTATTTGCTTTTATTACATTATAGGAGGAGGAGAATAAAGCAAGAAAACTTGCCATGCTAAAAAGTTTGCACATCAAGAAATATTGTCGCTAGAATTACAGATTTTGTAGATTAAGGGCCAGATCCTCTCCCGCTCCCCGTGTCAGAGTGGCATAAAGTGACCTTAAAGCTGCTTTAAAAGGATAGCTGGGAATCACGTCAGCCCGGGGAATCTTTGGCTTTACATCAGTCCATGGAGTGGGGTGTAGAAGGAACATGATGGGCTGTTGGGGGGTGGAGTGCACTGTCTTCTGGTGATCCCTGCTGGCGTAGCGATGCATAGGTGGGTCTTTACAAGTAGGTGGAAGGTAGAGCAGCCCTTGGGCAGCTTTGGCTCTTGACGAGGGTGGGTGTAACCAGTGCTTAATTGGTGCCAGGGCTGAGCCTCGGCACCTCTGGGCTTGGCACTTCATAGTCCCGGCACCTCTGGGCTTGCTGCATCAGTTACGAAAGTAAAAAAAATTGCTTGAGCCCTGGCACCTCTTTAATTACAAATTAAGCAGTGGGTGTAACCCCCCAGCCAGCCCCAGGATTGGGGAAGGTGGCTTGGAGCTAATTTTGCCTGCCTTCCTCCCTCAGCTGTTCCAACCTCTGCTCCAGCAGAGGAATGAGCCTGTCTGTGCAAAGAGGTGGTTATTTAAACTGGCTTCTAGACATATATGAAGAAACATGTCTATCTTTGAGCTCTACAAATACAATTATTGTATTACAATCTGGATTCATTACTTACACGGTACTTGGGGAGGGAACCCTCACGTGTAGGAGGCTTTGCAAGAGTTTGTATAATATGAAAACTGTTTTATATAAATATATATATAAATATAAAATACCTGGAGCCAGAATAGGCCTATCGTGACACGTATAGCTGAGTTTATGTAACACCGACAGACCCTGGACCCTGGTCATCGGTGGGCGGGATTGAATCTGGGACCTCTGGAGTTAAGTGCATGAGCCTAAAGCCATATGGCTCTTAGCTAAGGCTGTAGACCAGACTCACTAATCTCTCTCTAAGTAGTCTTGGTGCCACTAGAGGGGACAGAGCACAACACCCAGGAGGTATGTGGGTTACATTTAGTTGTACTAAATACATAGGACTGCTCTTGGCCCCCATGCCAATGAGGCAAACAGGATAGACAGCTGCATTGACAAGCCAGCTAAAAATCCCAAGTTGACAAAAAGCCAGACTAGCCAGCTCTACACCATATGCTTCCCCAACCATGCCTCTGGGCAGGTGCTCCTGGATGGGCTAGAAACAAGGCTCTGGTGATCCCTGGTGGGTGGGGCAGCCCCTCATTTTGGATCCCAATTAGCGCCAGGGTTTCAGGACCAGAAAGGTGCGTTAGAAGCACCTTTCCTGCCCTCCCTCAACCCAAGTTTCTGTGCTGCACAGGTCTCAGCCAGCTTGGGAGAGCTGGGCTATGGAGTGAGATACAGTGAATTTTTTCTCTCAGGAATATTTTCTTATTAAAAAAACCCCAGAAGACAGCACACATACCACTCGCCTGCTCCATCTGACACAGTTACTAGGTTGTAGTTGTAGTTACTAGTTTGACTTATAAGATGCTTTGCTGTATTTAATAATCTGTAGATAACATGGGACCTTAGCACACTTTTACTTTAAAATTCTAAACATAGCACTGTTCCTGTGCCTTGTATGGCTCTCCCTTCGTTTGCTCCCCTCCCCATATCCTGCAGACGAGCAGTTGTACTAGCACTGTGTATACAGGTTACCATTTTTGTAAGGATGCCTTCCTGTTTCCTTGTGCGTGTGACCTCCCCCTATGTTTTACATCCTGTTTTACTGTGTATCATTCTGACTCTCTTTTGTTGGCTGGCTGTACTTGTAGGGAGTAAATGTTTTGATCCCTCCTGGCTTGTTCCATCCTAGTGAAGAGAGTGACCCAGTAGCTCATTCTACACTGACCCAGAACTTGGATCCCAATTCACTCACCCCAGCAGTGCTATTTTACAATACTGCTTGCTGGAATTGATCCACTGCCCAGTGGTTACCATTTTAAAATATATCAGTACTTCCTTAGATGGTCTGCAGTGTTTAATTATCTCAGGCATTTGAAGAGTTTCAAAGGTGATTGCTGTATTTATGTCGTACGTACTTTTTATGGTGATATCTGATTGTTTGCTTTTCTGGTACTATGACAGTTTCACTCTTTACTTCTTTACCCAATTTCAGGGCCTGATGTAGTCAGTAGGGCTAACATTAACGTCACGGATGAGCTGAACTCCTGGGGTAGAATCCTGGTTCCTTTGAAGGCAATGGCCAGGATATCATCCCTGAACATTAACACCTGATTTCAGAGTGTCCTTTGCAAAGTGACAAAGAAGCAGGACTTTAAAAAGCACCAAAGAAGAGATCCAGCCTAAGACTTTGTCTACACTAGCACTTTTGGTGGTAAAACTTTTGACAAAAGTGCCGGTGTGGACAGCACTATGTCGGTGGGAGACAATCTCCTGCCGACATCACCCCCAACGAACGGAGGTAGCTGTTTAATTACACTGGCAGGAGAGCTCTCTCCTGCCGGCATTGAGCAGCTACATGGAAGACCTTACAGCTGTATTCTCATTTGGGAAGTTGAACAGACCTTGACTGCAATCAGACTGACTCAGTCCCTCACAGTAACTTGCCCTGGTACCCTCCCCCCTTCCCTAGATAGAGCTCTACTTCCTGTACAGAGCTCTTCCCAACCTTGGTTTGCCCTCAGCCTCCTTTGGATTGGGCTCTTCTGGCTCTCCAACCCAATAAAGGGAAGGAATCCCCCAGTCGTGCTGCAGGGCCCAGTCATCTACCCCACACCCTTGCTAACCTCATGTCTCACTCCTTTTCCCCCCTCTTATTTATTTTGCTCTGTCACTACCCCCCTCCTTGCCACTCTCATACTCATGGGCCTGCTACAGGCTCTGCTGGTCTGCCATCAGCTGCTAACAACACATAGCTCCCTGCACCATTGAGGTTTTTCCCTTTCAGCAAAGTCCTCAGTGTAATAACATGGTTGTAATCAGGCTTCTAGAATATGAATAGCACTACAGTCTACATGAATAAATGTCTATCCTAAAAGCATAGCCTAATTCTTCCATAGCCTCACACTAACACTGAGAAGATAACAAATGTCTGCTGCACAGCAGGCTCGCCAAGGTGGCTGTGCCCCGATGCTGGTAGCCCTGTCTGTAGGCATAAGTACATTGGAGCATTAGTCCTCTCTACTGGGTGACAGTCATTCTCAAGCCCTGTGCAAGCCAGCTCCCTTATTCACAAGGGTCATAAAGGATGGGACATAGACAAGGAGCATCTGAGGAGATGCAAGCTTAAGTGCAGTGCACAGCCAGGGGTGCTGGAACAATTTGTATAGTGAGTGCTGAGAGCCATTGAACCAAACTGTAAACCCTGTATATAATGGAAACCACTTGAAGCCAGGGGGTGTGGTAGCACCCCTACTTCCAGCAACTATGTGCTCAGCTACATATTCTCCTCAGACCCCTTTCTTCTACTTCTTGGCAGCTGGGATATTTCAGTCATGGAGCAGCACACTCTTGTGACTGTGGGGGTGGACTCAGCAGAGTTCCCTGTCCTCTTCAGCATTTTTTATTGTGAAACACTTGAAACCTGTGCTGTGCAGCATCAAAATCAGTGTTACTTAGAGCCTGATTTTTCAAAGATGCTCCACAATTCCACCCAATATCAGTGGGAGCTGCAGGTGCCTGGTGCCCCCTGAAAAACAAGCCCTTACTGTGACTTAGCAGATGCCTGGGAGGCAAAACACCACAGGTCTAGTGTCAGCTCTGTCACTGATTTGCTGCATGGCCTTGAGCAAGACACTTAACTGTCCTGTTCCATTTTCCCCACAGGTAAGATAGGAATAACATTTACCTCCTGGATCTCACTTAATTATTTAATGTTTGTACAGAGCTTTGAGCATCTAAATTACGGTAGAAGGGCTAAGTGATAGTATTAGTGAACATCTTTGTGCTGATAAATATGGTGCCCAATTCATATGCCAGTTGGGTCATCTATTCACCTGCTACTCTTTTGGCAAACATAATTTTTTGTAGCATGAATATGTTTCTGGCTTACCCTACACAAGCTCATAAAGCCTGGCTGGTGTGTCTATCTGAACAAGTGTCTCTTACTAAGCCAAATGGTTTGTACAAAGAAGCTGACTCTGTACCCAGTACAATGGCCATTTCCTGTTTCCTATGACTTTTTGCTCCCTTCCTCACTACTTAGATTATGGCTGCATGCAAAGAGAGTCTTATGTCTCTGTATGCGTTAATAAAGGAAACCGTATTTTTTCTAGTTAGCCTGTGTTCATATTATAAATTGACTTTGATCCAGGGAAAAATTTCACTGCCAGGCAATAGACTGTTTTCTTACTGCTTTGGGCACCAGTTCTTAGATTCTGTTCAAAGCTCAGCATCCCCTAGAGCATTTGTAAGGCAGCGCATTCAGATGTAGAGACCAGGATATGCTGCACAGTGTAACACACACTTTTATATAAGATATATAAATAAAGGATCTTTACAGCAAGTTGTCCATAGTCACTCATCCAGGCAAGCATATAAAGGTGGAAAAGAAAAGGCAGGTGGAACTGCAAGCTGGTAAAGATGCCAGAGGGAATTCTAGCTGTCATGTGGTGAGGGGATTGGGAATGGAACAATGCACTAAAGGCAAGAGAAAATTATGAAATTATTATTTGTATTACAGTAGCTCCTGGAGGCTATACCCAGGGCTCCATTGTTCTTAGTGTTGTACAAACATGAAGTGAAAGACTGTCCCTGCCTCAGAGAGCTTTCAATGTAATTAGACAAAATGCAGGCAAAACAGAGGGGGAGGAAGTATTGCTACCTCTCTTTCCAGAGAGGGAGCTGAGACAGAGAGATTAAGGACAAGAACTCAACGGTATTTAGGCACCTAATTCCAACTGAAATCAAGGGGAGTTGGATGCCTAAATAGGATGTGGGCCTACGTGACTTGCCCGGGTCCATGGTAGAGCTGGGAATGGAACCCAGTGAGTCTCAGTGCGGTGCTTAACCACCAAGCTGTCCTTGTACCTTTGTCAGTTGAAGGGAAAGCTTTTAAAAAGCATTAAAAGATGAGTGGAAGTGATTCAGTTGCTCAGACAGAAGGAGTGAATCTCAGCAGCTGGGTGGCACAATGGGATGCCCTCCTTCCTCCCCACATGGGAAGGGTTAATGCAGGGTGGACAGAGAGGGGGTGGAGCAGCTTGTGCAGTCAAGGGAGTAGGTGCACAAACTACCAGAAAGGTGAGGGAGGTAAGTCCCTCGGACTTGGGAAAAACAGCAGGTTGTCCCTCTCCGTCAGTACTGAGGCCCATTGATGGGAGCAGCTTACACTGCGGCTGCTCAAGCTGTGCCCATTCTGTAAGTACATGGACGGATTCCAGTTTTGAGTGCTGTTGGGCCTGCTGTTTAAAGGAACACCAAATTCTCACCATTTAAAAAAAAATCAAAATTAGACAAATACAAAAAATAAAAGGTACAATAATAATGGAGAAAACATCAGTGAGCATTGTAAACAGTACTGAAGCATTTGCAGGTTTCACATTTAATAGACACCGAGCCAAATTCTCTTGTATTTACCCTGCTCAGATAGGCCTTATTCTCATTGTAAATGACCAGTTGAGACTTCCCCCAAAGGAGAATGTCCACTGGCATAACACACTGGAGATGGTTCTTGCTTTAGCTGCCCCCTCACTCCCCCATGAACCACCCCAGCATATGCAGTGGAGAAGACCTCCACTACACTGATCCTCCACTAGTGTAAGATCTTTAAGCTACCTTAACCAATACCTGGGCCAGGGTAGCCCAGAATCAGGGAACCATATTCAATTTCCTAATAGACCTTTTCTCCCCAGAGCTCAATGGAGCTTGAACACAGGGAAAACCATTGAACAAAGGTAGCTATTACCAAACTTCATCAAAAGAAAGACTCTAAAAGTCAGTGGAGAGGGTACTAAAAGATGGTAGTCACTCAAAGTTGGAGGAGATGGGGACATGGAGTAAGAGAAGAAGAATTCCAACATCTTAGAACTCATTGCAGAGGATTAGTGGACACAGTGGTCCAGAATTCAGTTTCCTTAGCTTTCTGAGGGAGAACCACAAGTGGATGAGCAATACTGAACTGAAGAGCTGGTAGCAGTCAATCGTAAAGCTGTCATAGAATCGTAGGACTGGAAGGGACCTTGAAAGGTCATCTAGTCCAGTCCCCTGCACTCATTCCAGGACTAAGCATTAGCTAGACTATCTCTGACAGGTGTTTGTCTAACCTGCTCTTAAAAAAATGATGGAGATTCCACAACCTCCCTAGGCAATTTATTCCAGTGCTTAACCATCCTGACAGTTAGAAAATTTTTCCTAATGTTTAACGTAAACCGCCCTTGCTGCAATGTCCTATCCTCAGAGGTTAAGGAGAACAATTTTTCTCCCTCCTCCTTGTAACAGCTTTTTATGTACTTGAAAACTGTTATCATGTCCCCGCTCAGTGTTCTCCAGACTAAACAAACCCAATTTTTTCAATCTTCCCTCATAGGTCATGTGTTCTAGACCTTTAATCATTTTTGTTTCTCTTCTCTGGACTTTCTCCAATTTGTCCACATCTTTCCTGAAATGTGGTACCCAGCATTGGACACTGTACTCCAGTTGTGATCTAATCAGCATGAAGTAAAGCAAAATATCCTTGGCAGATCCTTGGCATCCCAAGGAATGCACATGCTGTTATATATTGTCCAGTAATAAAGTTTTGTACAATATCTTCAAGGAATTCTAGCTCAGGTCAGAAGTTCAGATTCAGATTGAATTCAGACTCCTGGCTGATGAATGAAGCCAGTCCTTGGGTATGTATGACAAAAGCAGTTAATTTCTCTATCAGACTGGTGATAAAGGTAACACAAACTTATTTAAGTATGAGTTAAATTCTTGTTAGTTACTGTGCTAGTGTAAATGTATTCATCAGCATCTTCTTGGATGAGCCTGGTTTGAACATGTTGTTCAGCTATGTCACCATTCTTCCGTGTGAGTAAGAATGAAAGTGTTCCCTTTCCTTACACAAACAACCATTACAAAATTAGAGGAAGCTGCTCACTCTGGGTCAGATTTTCAAAAGTGGTCAGCTTTCCTTTTGGTACTTTAATAATGGCCTGAGTTTAAAAAAAATGTTCAGCACCCAGCAGCTTCCATTGTGACACTTAGTGCCAGATTTCCAAAAGAGCTCAGCACGCGGGGATGTTGAGCATCTTTCAAAATCTGGCTACTTATGTTAGCACCTAAATGAGAGCTGAGCTCTTCTGAAAATCTGGCCCCAATTGTGATTATTGGACACTTCTGAAAATCTATTCCTCTATTGTGTGGCTGGGAAAATGTTACATTGCAGAAATGCTTTCCTTCTGAATACGTACCCAGCTCTGTATCAATACTTCAGGAATCTTTTTTACTCTGTTCATAGTCAATTGCTTTGAGATTATCTCTTAAATATATTCCACATACACCTTACTCTGCAACAGTAACTGGTGATGAAATAACTTCTTATTTTGGTGCACCGATCTAAGTGATTCACTAAAATAATCCAATGGTGCCTAGAGGACGTGATTAAATAGCAATGATGGATCAAGCTCTACATTACATAGAGGCCTTTTCACACATTTTAATCCTGACCTTGTTGATAGTTAGTTTGTACATTTTCCTTTGCTGTGTTTGCCAAAGTGCAAAAGAATATATCTGAGAAATGCTCTGCTTGTATCGTTTTTTAGATTATGGCTGCAGTGGAGAAACAGCTCATCCAGTTCTAAATATACCTCCCTGAACAGACCTGTAATAAGTCCACTGATTAAAATAGCATCCTAGTTCCCAGTTCAAGATCTTACTGTATAACATCAGAATTTGGCTGCCCTTCTGATCAACTTGGAGAAGAACTGTTTTCCATTTTACTGCTTTGAAAATGAAGGACAGTTGAGAATTGTCATCTAATAAGAATGTACTGATCCTTACCATTTCTAAACAAGGCCTCCTTTACAATGATTGACAGTGCCAGATGAGATTTATGGTCAAATTATTTGGTTAAATGTAGCCTGAAGGAATAAAAATGAACAGCTAAACAAAAAAAATGTGTTGAATGTCTTGGCAACCAAACGAAGTTGCCTGATTTATGAGAAATAGTGAGTTATCTTTCTGCAGACAGACTTCTGAGAATTATTTCAAACCCACACATTTTGGAGCCGGCAGCTTTTAATGAAATGAACATATGGCTTTTTAAAAATTCTTATTAAAGACTGAGGGGAAGGTCCTTTGCCCCTTTACACTGCTCCACAGCACAAAATGGATGTAAAGCTGCCCTCATAGTGCTACTAGGGAATGATTCCTCTTGCTTATGCCTCCATCCCCTCGCCTAGGGTGGTGTATTAAGGTAGAACGAGGCATGGCCAGAGCACTGCGGAGCTCTGCTGATCCGCAGCTGCTTTGTTGTCCCTTGGGAGGTATTACTGGAGATGTAAGCTAGAGAAGTCCTGAGGCTGCTGTAATTTATGCAGAAGGCTGAACTGGCCCCTGGCTGACCTCAGGCATGGAGAAGTTCAGAGGTGGCTAAAAGACATCTTTGCCCCTCCAGCCACCTGAGGTCCTGCACCAAATGCAGCACGGCTGGATCTCAGTGGCTAGGGTTAAGTGTAGAAACTACATCTCCTAGATAAAGCGCCTAGATTGTGGCTCCACTGAAGTCTGTGGAAAAACTTCCAGTTAAGTCTATAGTTTTTCCATTGACTTCAGTGGGGCCAGGATTCCACCCACAATAGTTTTTATAGTACATACTGTAATATATGTGTAGGGGGTCAATCTCTCTCTCTCACACCTACACCCACACCCACAGCTATATTTTCATCAGCTGAGCTGAGGTCCTGAGCTGAGGTGCAATTTTTCTCTCATATTTGCAATTCAGTTAGGAATACAATTGTGAACACTTGCATCCCCAGCTACAGTATTTATGTCTGCCTGAAACTATAGTCTTAGCGGTGTATAATCCAGGCTGGCCTTACCATGAGGTGAACTGAGGCAGCCGCCTCAGGTGCCAGACTGTGGGGGGCGCCACTAGAACCCAGAGTGTAGAAAATTGTGTCTGCTGCTGGTGCATATGTATTCTCTCTGCTCTAGATGCACAGAGATGGTGGAGTGCTGTGCTGGAGGAAGGAGGGCACAAGAGACATAACAGGCAGGCAGGAGAAAAGGTCAGAGGGAATAACAGAAAGCAGCAGGAGCTGCAGGGTAAGAGAGGAGGAGGAGCCTCTTATGTACCTCACCTCTCTGGCACTCCCAGGAGCCTGGACTGATTAACACCAGCTTCTCAGGGAGCTTCCTGTTTCCTGCTGCTTCCCTGAACCCACTTGAGGAGAACAGGCAGTCAACTGAAGTAGTAGGAGCCAGTTAGGCCCTTAAGATGCTGATATCTTCCCTCACTCAGGCCCTGCTACCAGCCTGCTTATTTTTCCCCTTCAACTGAGCGTTGAGAGCCACTATAGCTGGCACAGAACAGCAGTCATGAGTGAAAGAAGAAAATGCCCCTCTGGGGCAGCATTCAGAAAAAGAAAGCAAGCAAAGGAAGCTTTTCTATCTAAGCAGGAAGGAGCTCTCCAGAGATACATAGACACGAATGTTCACAGTGAGCCTTCCAGCCCCAGTGAGGATGTGAGTGGTGAGGAGATGCCTGATCTTCCAGTTAGTCAGAGTGCAGGTGACCTAGCAGCTACTGCAGCATCCATATCTCCATCTCAAATGGATGTAACCATGCACATTCCTGAAGAAAAGTGTAGATCAGAGAAGAGTGTGGTGGAGGCGCAAGAAACAGCTGCTGCTGAGTTTAGTTCCTTAAGTCCAGAGGACTGTGGACCCACTTGAGCAGCAGCCTGAGGGACTTCCTTGAATGGGCCACAGCAAATGAAAAACTTCATGTTTCCCAAAGACAATGAAAATAGAAGTTTCCATCCAACACATTACTGGCGTGAAATCCCCAATGGTGACAAAGTGGAGAGGCCATGGCTTATGTACTCAAAAACCCAGAATGCTGCATACTGTTTTTGTTGCAAACTCTTCCAGTCTAATGTTCCAGCCACATTGGGTTCTACAGGAACAAAGGACTGGAAAATTTTGGCTAGAAATCTGGCATGCCATGAGAAGGCAGCAAATCACCAGAGAGTATTCCATAGGTGGAAAGGGCTTGAGATGAAACTAAGGTTAAAGGCCACCGTAGATGACCAGCATCAAGAGAAGATTGCATCAGAGTCTCTTTACTGGCAAAATGTTCTGAAAAGGCTCATTGCCATTGTGAGAATGCTTGCTACCCAAAACCTAGCACTGCATGGCACTTCAGATTAGCTGTATGTGCCAAACAACAGAAACTTCCTTAAAATTGTGGAGCTGACGGCTGAGTTTGATGCTGTACTTCAGGAGCATCTAAGAAGAGTCACCACCCAAGAAATGTACCCACACCACTACCTTGGAAAAACAATTCAAAATGAGATCATACAGTTACTGGCAACAAAAGTCAAACAGAAGATTGTGGCAGATCTGAAGTCAGCAAGATATTACTCTGTTATTCTGGACTGCACACCTGACATCAGCCATACAGAACAAATGACTTTAGTGGTGTGTTTTGTAACAACAACAGAACCTAGTGAAAATGTCCCTGCAATGGTGACTGTCAGAGAGCATTTTCTAGACTTTATTGACATTGATGATCCTACAGGAGCTGGTATGACAAATGTGCTTCTTAAAAAGCTGGAAGATACGGGAATTGCGATAGCTGACATGAGAGGTCAGGGCTACGATAATGGTGCCAACATGAGAGGAAAGAACAGAGGAGTTAAACCCTTGAGGTTTTTTTCCCCATGCAGTTCTCATTCATTGAACTTGGTGGTCAGTGATGCAGCATCAGCTTCTAGTGAGCTGCTGAATTTTTTAATGTAATTCAAAGCATCTATGTATTTTTCTCTGCACCAATTCGTCGATGGCAAATTTTGAAGCAACATCTGGGAACATCCTCTCTGACATTGAAACCACTGACTGACACATGATGGGAAAGTCGAGTGGAGGCGATAAAGCCTATAAACACCAAATTGGGAAGATAGATGATGCCATAATTGCCATTATGGAGGATAATGCTTTGACAGGAATTGTTCATGGGGGAATAGTGACAGAGGGAAATGGAATCACAGAAACAAACATAACTTCAAATTTCTGTGTGGATTAGTGTTGTGGCATGACATACTGTTTGAACTAAATGTTGTAAGCAAGAGTCTACATGGTGTTGACCTTGATATATCTGGAGCAATGGAATAACTGGACAAAGCAAAG